ATGTTCAGACATCATATATGACATTACAAAGTCAACACCCATCCTTAAGCATCCAAAGAGGAGATTCCCTCAAACGGATATCAGTATGAATGAAAATAAGTATAAGGTATAGATGAAGCATCATACTGTAAGCAGAATTCTCAACAAGGTTTGCTTCTCCTCTACCCTTCAATCTTCTATCCTCCACTTTCCATAATACACCACAAGCCAAAGTACATCAGCACTATCAAGCAACATACTTGATTAGGTAGTTCCTTAGAGCACACTCAAAAGACACTTTCCTTCAGAGTAACCACACCCTCTTACCCCAGACAGAACTCTGGAACACTCATATCAAACATCTTAGATGAGACTCTAAGAAGATATATAAACACCAAGCAATCATCAACTCCCTTGAGTTATTAGCTATTGCACGATACCAAGAGGATGAGGTAGGCTTAGGAAACAACCATATAGTTGGAGAGCGACCACTACTAAGAAGACCAACACATACAAGATGATACAACTCCCATGCTCACCAATGACTTCAACATAAACATCCAGATGTTCCATCCTATTTCAGAGCATTTAATTTACATCATTGACTTGACAACCAACTGATGAAACCCCACATGCCTGAAACAGTCTTGAAGCTTAGACCCTTAGACTTCTAGATAGTTTCCACCTTGAATGGCCTTTCGATCATAACAAAACAAGAGTTTCATTTTCTCATAGACTTGATCACAAAATCAAGTTTGAGTAAACAACCTCCATCCTGTACATATAAATGGAAAAATAACAACTATTCCTTTTCAAGATAACTCAAATATCCCAATGACAATCTGCCTCAAGCACAACTTTCCAAGGAAATGATACGATCAGAGTCCCCACCAGACTCAAACCAAGAGAAGATGTAGTCACAACTATCAATAAGATCACTCATATCTAGCTTTGAAAGACCAGAAGAATCTTCAAGATATTAGAGTGAATGTTCCAGACATGTTTCTTTGACATCCATGTGCATAGAAACTTGTTAAGATGTCTCCACAACCCTTCAACACAAAGTACGCCACAAATCCTTCAATGGAGTACCAGAAGTCTAGCTTCAGATCAGAAATAAACTGACCTAAAGAAAAATCACCAAAGCAAATGGTGTATTGATCTTCATCTTCACTAGGATATAAATACTAGATAAGTTTATTGCCACGAAACTTCCTAGTCAGATAATGTGCCTCTGCAGATCCAACCAGAAGTAGGTTCCCAACACTTTATGTTAACACACAAAAGTTTGGTTCCCAAAGCGTAAGCTATTCCCCTTCCTTATCCTAGAGACTCATTCCTTGAATCAACAAGATTATGCATAAACTCTGCTGATGGGATGTTTCAACATCTGGTTGAGCATCAGATCCTTGAAGTAGACCAAACAGATCCAAGGACCAAATACTTTAGCATCAACTAATGAGACACTTTGATCATCAACTAAGGATAATTCATTAAATACGTGTGAGTAGCAATGAATCTTAAATCCTTATAAGAAATCCTTTTTCCAGAAGACTAACTTTGGTCATCCACCTGAAGTTGGTCCTTGAGCTGTTGCAACGAGAAACGTTGCACTTCCTGATGAGCTATCTGAACTCCAGCAATCCTGAGCTTCAAGGATAACCAATTAAATATTTATGCATTCCACAAATAGCAATTGATCTTAAATCCTAATTTAGCAAACCACACATCTTGTAGATAAGACCATCTGACAAATATTTACACTTCAGCAATACCAAAAGTATTCTTTAGTGCAAGTATCTTTGATGTTAAAACATCAAGGCTGACACCCTTGACTCAACCTGCCTATGACTTTCTCTTGCTGATAAATTCCTTGCAACACATGGATGGTGAAAATAAATCACCTCCAATTTCTTCATATTGATGATCCTCAGAAATCATCCTTGATCTAGAAGAGCAACTAGAGAACTCCAGAGACATAACAAAGAAGCCTTTATGAGTGGAGTTGAGACAAATCTCAAGCATCTTTGGCAGCTTTGTCATGATAAAGGTAGATTACCAACTTCAATGACCATGAATTTAATACCCTAGAACTCAACTCATCTTTCCTTCAAAACGAGTTCAAGATACCTGAAGGAACCAACCTTCAAAGTACTAAGACATCAAAGGAGAACACCAACAAACAACTTTCCCCATTCCATTACTCCCGACTAGAACAACTAGAACTTCCATAGATGTTGACGCCTTCATGACAAATAGAGGATAAATAGAGTCTTCAATCTAGATTTATCAATGTCCTTTCATTAGAAACACATGCAGTGGAACATCTTCAACAGGACCCAGTCAGGATGTCAAGACATCTTAGTGGACACCATGCAGAAAGGAACCTTAACCCCAACATCAACAAGAGCATCTTCACAAAAGCAAAAAGCAACAACCAACTAGTAGTTGTCATCCTCGATCCATTACCAATCATTTTGGATATCCAATACCTTTGAAAACATCAGAATGAAGGGTCTGATCGCACAAACACACACCTTATTTAAAGAACTAGAAAGTATCTCCCAAGATCTCATCCAAAAATAGACAGGATGCTTGCTCTGATACCAATTGAAATTCTAGCAAGCAGATCGCAGATGTTCTCACAACATGTCACAACATCGTTCTTTGAATAACTTTAAAACAAGGGCAAAATAAAAAAGCTGACATTCTGAATATCAACAACAGAATCACGACAGATGTTTCAACATCTGTTACAACATGTTAATCAATAAGCAAATACTGAACTGCAAATTTGTAGAATGATAAATAACACAAGATATGTTAAACCAGTTCGGTGCAATTCACCTACATCTGGGAGCTACCAAGCTAGGAAGGAAATCCATTATCAGTAGTATCAATTTAGAGCTAAACTCCCCCGTTTATAACCCCTCTCTTAATCCTTACCCAATGCAACTTTTACCTAAGACACTCCTAGATATGAGAAATCACCATCTCACTTCCAATCACCATAGTGATAAAGAAACACTCCCAGTCCTAGAAAATGCCACAAGAAACCAAAAAGAAAGATGTACCCTTTTTTTAGAACAATACAAGGTCAAAACTCTTGACCATGAACAATACTCGGTTTTGCTTAAAGCTTCAACCAGTAACAATACTCAACTCTTGCTTTAAAGCTTCAAGTGAGAAAAATATACAACCTAAATATGTCTATCATAATGCATCAAAAGATACAAAGGGTGACTTACAAAGTCACACAAAAGAGACTCTCAAAACCCTAAACCCTTATGTTGCACCCACAATTTTCTTTTTGTGAATGCTTGATTCCTTTAGGTCTAACAAGTCCTTATTTATAGGCTCTTGCACTATGGGCTTGGACTCTTCAATCAGGTCTAATCTTCATATTGTAAATCTTCTGCAGAATTTTCTCCACAAAAATAGGAACAAATCTTTTATAGTTTCTTAAAAAGTCTCAAAGATCCTTTTTATGAAATCTAATTAAATTTGCACTTTGTTCCTAATAAATCTCCTTGACCTGCGCATAATGATGAGGTATATCCAAAATGATCTCATCAAATCAAAATAAATTTGTCAAGAGATATAAAACAACAGCGCCTGTTATACCAAACTAAGATATTATGACATCTGTCTAAAACACATGACAGTAGTACTGCCATGACAATTGATGAAGATGTTATAACATCTTACTCAACATCAGTGTAGAATAATATTTTACCAAAATTTAGCCAATCATAGAACCATGGAACTAACATTTGTAAAGCATGTCAACCTTTCTTGAGCCTTGTGATTTCAGACTCCAGCTGACAAACTGATTTCAGACTTCAACTTTATCACCAACTCTGAATGATACCAGAAGCCAATTTACATTCACCAAGTATAGAGAAAATTATGTTGTTTCTTCTGATGCTGAGGCCTTCAGGTTCAGAGTCTACACCAGACATCACTTAATAAGTGTTCTTCAGATTCTGCACCATCAGAAGTTAGCAATTCAACTTCTCTCAAGTGTGCATTTGTATATCAAATTTTGTATATAAATATTTACAAATATTAGAACTTGCATACAAAAAACACACATCAAATATAACCATTATTCTTTAAATACTTTGTTATCATCAAAACACAAAGAATATAAGTCATAAACAAATATTGTTGTAAAACAATAAACCTTGGTCAACTAACTATCATGAATAGTTAGATAAAAATAATCATATGATCGTGTAACATCTATTTATCCTTAAGACAAATATCCTCTATGAAGATTTTAGGATCTAAAACCTTAAAAACCTACTTTAAAGATTAAAATACAATTCAATCTCAAATAAAAAATTTTTTAGAAACCTTAAATCTACTCTTAATTATCTATAACATATATAAAGGTAATACTTGGTTTTTGGTGTAGTTTTTTTTTTATACCAAATTTACCCTTATTTTAAAATATATAACTTACACAATAACTTTCATTGAACTACTACTATCATCTTAGATATAACCCCCTACTAATAGTTTCTCACATAACTTCCATCTAAAATTAATATTAAATAAAAATATATCATTTATATTTATGTGTGCAATAAAAAAGCGGACAGACGGACACTCGCATGCCCGTCTGGGCTAGTTTTTAATAAAGATAAAATATGTCTAATAATAAGATTTTATGAATCTGGAATATGCTTTAATATTTTGACTAAGCAAGACCTTCTCCAAACTTGATTGAGTAGGCGCGTGAGTGACACGACCACACTCGGAGTAGGCTAGTTAATTCTAGAATAATCCGTTACAGATAAAACCCTCCCAATCTTCATTTCTAGGGTTTTTATTATCTTCAATTCTTCCATTTCAATTTCAACGCCACTCTCACACAAAACCCAATCTATCTTCTTCCTACTCCAACATCAAATCAAGGTAACTTCAATCTTCTCTCTCAAAAACCTCTCTCGAATTACAACAACATAATCAATTTCAATTTCTAAATTCTTGTCATTATTTACTTTGCAGTGTAAATGGCTTCTTCTCAGTTGACAGCTTCATCAATTTCTACTAGGAACGTTGCATCGTTTCAAGGACTTCGACCTTCTGGAGTTCAGTTTCATGGTGCTCGAAATGTTAGAATTGGTAACCCTGCACGAAGGTCCTTCAAGGGTATGGTTGTCAAAGCAGCCACTGTCGTTGCCCCCAAGGTTTGTAGTTTTTTCTTTTGTGTAAAAATGATGAATTTAAAGTTGTTTTTCTTTGTGTTTTTTATGTGTTTTTTATGTGTTTCTAAATTATGTTTGTTTTAATTTTGGTGTATCTTGATATTGAAAAGTTGTTATTGGTACTTGTGAAATTCTTGTTGGAGTAGAATTTCTATGCTTTTATGGAAGTAATTTTTCTGAAAGAGTGTTGGATTGGGTGAAGTTTGAAAAGATAAAGGTGGGTTATGGGTGAATTATATTGTTTTTTGAAATAATAGAGTTGTTATGCAGGCTTTATAGAAATGATAACTGAGGATTTAAAGCTTTGATTGTTTTGGTTTTTGATTTGAAGAATAGTGTTTAAACAATTGAATTAGATGTCATATGTCCAAACAGCTATGGAGCACGGACACCTCTCACAGCAGGCGTGTCGCGGTGTCGATACTTGTATGATATCTATGATATCTTTTCGAGTGTTGAAAAATTCAGACAAGTATCTTTAAATTTTTTTTTTTTTTTTGCTTTGACGTTCTTTAAATTTGTGTTCGACACCCATATAACACTCCTACAACACACAACACAGTTTAAACAATTTAGACAAGTGTTTCAAAAACGTTACTTTTTTCTGTTTCAACATACTTCATACATTTTTTAGACAAATTTTAAACGTATCTGAAACGGTTAAACATATATTGAAGCTATACTATCAATGAATAATTAAAGACATTAATTTTGATTAGAATATTTTTAATTCATTTAAATCTAGATGGTAAGTGAAACTCAAACACTATCATATATGTAGTGGTGTCGGTGTCTTATGTTTTTGACATTATTGGTGTTGAGTGTCTGTGTTGGAGTTTGTACTTCATAGCCAAGCAGTAGTTTGCTTGTGAAATCTCAAGGTTACAGAATTCAAATCCCATTATGCACTTTAATAAATGTTTTCTTTTCCCGTTTAATTGAATGAGAAATACCTTGATAATGGTTCAGTTGTAAATGAATTCTTAAGATATAATTTCCACAATTTTGGCTTCTAACAATGTATGTATTATTATGATCCAATGCTATGTGTTTCTGAGTGGTACTTTTACTGTGCAGTTCACATCAATCAAGCCTTTAGGTGACAGAGTACTCATAAAAGTTAAGGAAGCTGAAGAGAAGACAGACGGTGGGATTTTGCTTCCATCAAATGCTCAATCAAAGCCTCAAGGGGGTGAGGTGGTTGCTGTTGGTGAAGGAAAGACACTCGGAAAGAACCAAGTTGATATTAGTGTGAAGGTGATGTTGGAATGTTTTCAATTTTGATCTCGTTAAACCTATGGTTCTCGATTGTTAACTTTTTGGGGGTGTTCTCTCTAATTTTAACTAATGCGATGCATTTTGTTTGTACAGCCAGGTGCACAAGTTGTGTATTCAAAGTATGCAGGTACTGAGGTGGATTTTAACGGTGAGAAGCATCTTATTGTGAAGGATGACGACATTGTTGGCATCCTTGAAACTGATGACATCAAGGATCTTAAACCATTGAATGATAGAGTCCTGATAAAGGTACTCCCCTTTACAGTTTTGCTTATTTCCTTGTTGGATCCAAGGTGGAGAATGCCATTGGTTCATTTTCTTACTCATAATCTGGTTTCTCTTAAATAACACCAACTGTCGATATTACATTTACATGCATAACAACTTACAGTTATGTAAAAATATCGTGTATTGATTTTTTCATCAATGTTTGGGAGATGTCTTATACTGTTTTCTAATGCTCAAGGTGTATCTGACTTTTTCCCAAGTAATTTTTATGCAACTTTATTTCTTATTCGGAACTCGGAAGTGTAACTCAGATACTATAGTCTCTAATACTTTGTGATGCCTGTGATAACTTTTGATGTAGCCGCTGACTGGTTTAATATACACTGCAGATTGAAAAAGCCGAGGAAAAAACCTCAGGTGGTTTGTTTCTCACACAGGCAACAAAGGAGAAACCTTCATTTGGAACAGTAAGCTTTCATGTTATTGTCGATTGGCACTGTCCTATGAATATTTTTTTCAATCAACAATAAGGTGTTCGGAAAATGTTTTTCTAATACATAGATGCTACAGGTTGTAGCAGTTGGTCCAGGGCTTGTGGACGAGGAAGGCAACATAAAACCTTTGTCTGTTACTCCTGGGAACACAGTTTTGTACTCCAAATACGCCGGTAATGACTTCAAAGGCAAAGATGGTTCCGAATACATAACATTAAGGAGTTCAGATGTCATGGCTGTTCTCTCTTAGAAATACAATTGTAAGACGAATTCGCATGATACACTCTTTCAGTAGGCACTATAATTTTGACTAGTTTTCACCTTGTTTTGATCACCAAATGATTTAAATAAGGTGCTAATGGTTTTCCAGGCATCTGAATGTTGTGTTAGTGAGTTTGAATTCATGTATCAATTTATAGCTCAATTCTCTTTTGTCAGTTATTAGATGATCTTGTATTACCACCTGAGCAACAATATTTGAGAAGCAAACAACGAACTTTATAAATTTGTTAATCAGGATGCTAATGTTATGAAATGATATGAGCCTAAAAAAGATCTATAAATTATAATAGATGAATTTATATGTAATAGATTTTACCTCCCAAGTTAAAATGCGTTATAAACTTCCCTATTGCACCGGTCCGACGCAAAAGGAGAAAGTGGGCGGAGTGTCCGAGATCGTGGGTCTGATGCTGTTTGGATGTGGTTCAAAAGCAGCCGGGTTATTTGGTTGTGCAAATTGGGTTCAAGTTGGGGGAATTTACCCAAGTCCTATGTTTTTCCTTTCATCGTCGCACAACATTGTTTGCAAAGCAATCATTGTTCTTTTCCTTTTCTTGTTTGTACATCTTCATCTTCCATTGTTTCATCTTCATTATGTCTGGTCTTCTTTCTCCGTTGCTTCAAGTTCAAATATTTCTCAAGTTCAAATATTTCTCTTGTTCCTCATCTGTTATGTTTTTTCTCAGGTTCCTTTTTTGTTATATTTTTTCTTTATCTATTCATGTCTTTGTTTCTCCTCTGTTCTATTTTTTTCCAACAATCATGACATATTCAACTCCTTCTACTAATTCTATTCCACCATCATCATCCATTGCTCAATTAGTTGTTTCTTTTGTTAAGCTATACAAACTAATAGGTGATATAGAATGATTGCTCAATTAGTTGTTTCTTTTGTTAAGCTATATAAACTAAGAGGAGGGTTACATGTGATTTTTGTAACGAAATGTCTACCAGAGAAAATTTTAGGGCACTCAAAAATCCGAAGACGTTAAGTTGATTTTGCAGGAGCATGATGATAAGAAATTTGCCGCAAAAGAATCTATGTCAGGTAAAGTGCATGAAGATGATGATCAGGCATCACGACTGCTAGACATATCTAAAATTTGGAGTGGAAAGGCTAAAGAGGCGAATATGTCCGTTGTCAAGAATGCAAAAGATTTATTGGATGTAATTTACTATAGAAAATCAGAACAAATTTAAAAAAAAAAGAAAGCAAACAAGCTTGAATGATGCTTGTGATAAGAAAGTAAGAGGAAGTTGTTGCTAATACATAATTCGTTTCTTTTATTGGAATGGAATCGGTTTCAATGTCGTAAATTTAAAAAGTTTTCAAAATTGATGGTTGAAGCAATTGGTATGTATAATGCACATTTGAAGCTTCCAAACTACTATGAGTTTCAAGATGAGTTGAAACATATACATGTGATGTTGAGTACTAATAAGCAAGAACAAATAAAGTATGGTTGTTCTATAATGTGATGTTGTGTACTAATAAGCAAGAACAAATAAAATATGGTTGTCCTATAATGTCTGATGGCTGGACAAATATAAAGGGAAGAACATTGATCAATTTTTTTGGTCAATTCTTCGGTAGGAACAATGTTTGTTAAAAGTGTTTATGTTTATACATATGTGAAAAATGGACAAAAGTTGTTTGAACTTTTGGATAGCTTTGTTGAAGAGATCGGTGAACGTAATTGTGCAGCTAGTTACCGATAACGAAAGCAATTATGTTTTGGCCGATATGCAACGAGGTCAAAAATATTTTGGACTCCACGTGCAATATCCTGTATTTAATAAAATTCTCTAAATAATATTAGTTGAGATTAACTCGGTTCCGATGTACTCTGAGAGTTATCTGTTGAGATAATTAGAGTAACTGATGAGCTCAATATTGACTTAATTAATATTATCTACCTCTTTTAACCTATGAGATTTTATTAATTGGTACATTAGAGACATTTTGGATACCTTCAATTATGGATATTTAATCAAGTTAGACTTACTAACTTTAATGATATTTTTCTTATATCATTTTCTTCTCTTTTTCTTTCGTTTTGGAACGTAGAGAGAAAGATAGTAAGAAGTTAGAGAGAATGAGGAGAAAGAAGAGAAAGAAGAAGAAGGAAACCCTAGAGGAAGAAAAACTTGGAACTTCATCATTTCTTCATCAAATCATCTCATCTTCATCATCAACAACTTCTTCATCTTGTGTTAAAGGTGAGTTCTATGTAGAGACTCAAGGTTAGAGTATTTAGATTAAATTAGAAAAGTTAGGTTATGGTATTTTATTCCATTGCTATGAAAGTTGTACGATTCATGTTTTATTTATGATATGGAAGTCATTCTAATGTTATGCATGTGTTTGATTTTCCATATACGGGTCTTATGAGAAGTGGGATTTGAAACTTGTTTGAACTCTTCATGTTGGTAAGAAGTTCTGAAACGCAGGGTTCGCAATACGAACGTAGGGGAGTGCTTAGGGAACATGAAAGTTTTGTCATATGCTCACACTGCGAGTGTGAGTGAAGCTGAAGGTGAAGGTTTGCCTAGAGTTCACACTGCGATCAAATGGGCCTTTCGCCACTGCCATAATTATTTCTTAGTTCGCCCAGAGTTTGCACTGTGAACTCAAAGCAAAGGAGCTCGCTTAGGCTTCACACTGCAAACGTCGTAGTGTTTTTCCCTTTTGTTTTCTTACTCCTTGGTTGTCCTCCATGCATGACTATTGTTACTACATTTTGTTTACCTTGAGTATTATGAATGATATGCATGTAAATTTGTGGATGGCGGATTAATTAAAATGAAGATTACATGATTAAAAAGAATTAAGAAAAACTGAGAAAAACTTATCACAACCCAATAGAATAACTTGGGGATGCAACTAGGAGTTGATAGATAACTTAGATGACAATGCTTGTGCGTTAGATGCCTAGGTGTGTATCCTTGACAAGTAGTTGTCTAGTGGAAAGTTGAGACATTATATGGAACATGATTTGATTTTATATTACTTTGAGAATAAGGCGTATGTGGCCTTGTGATTGTCGAATACAATCACCCTTGTGTGTGAGATCACGTAATTGGAACCAATCCCTTGAGTTGTGCCATTCTAAGAGTGGATACTTATATAGAGAGCTCCTCTAGAATGTATGCACTAGTATCTTGACAGGTTTGATTCCCGTTGTATGAATGAAGCCTACAGGTAAAGAGACTTGTGATGGGGTACGACCCATGAGAAGTGACGATTCATGTGGACTATGTTTTCCTTGGATCCAAATCCATTTTGTATGTCAAGGTTTGTAAGGATCCATGACCCACGCCAAACTCTTAGACATGGGAGAGGACGGGAAAAGCGATGCCTTGATGAGGTTTCCGATTAGTGATAGTTTGAGTTGTTGAACTCAAGCGATATATTTCTATATAGTGTGAAGTTGTGAACTCAAGTCTTGTCCTTTCCCGTTAGACTTGGTTTAGGACTGGTTATAATCTTGTAAAGCCGAGATAATTCTTAAGATAGGGAACCCACTGAGATTATTATCTCACCCCATGTTGTTGAATATATTTCAGGTGGTTCAGGTTCTGAGAAGGGTAAGGACAAAGTCGTTTGATGTCCTTACTTGTCTTAGCTTTTGAGATGGCTTGTTCCGCTGTGAAGGCTCTATTTTGAGATCATTATTATGATCTAGTTCTTAGTTATTTTGGACATCTTGTATATATTATGCCACTTTTAGTATCTTGGTGTGTTGGGCATGTAATATGTATAATGCGTCACTAGGAACTTATGTATGTTTCAATATTAAATTTACAATCATGTATAATATGAATTATTCTAGACTTATATTATATGTGGGTGTTACAGTTGGTATCAGAGCAGGTCATATCCTTGACCTAGCCATGAAATATTATAAGTATTTCTTTCTGCTTCATATGTGTGTGAACATCATCGTTTAAGATGTTATATTCCTAGTATTGAGCCTGATCAACTTGATTTTATTTGTATAACGTTTAGGGACATGGCTGACAGACGCCGAAGATATAGTAGACTCGTGACTCGGACATCCGACTCAAATCCCCCAAATTGTAGTGAGAATGTCCGATAGCCCTAATTTGTACAACAGGTGCAGCAACAGCCGAATTAGTTCATGGAACAAATATTGCAACATATGAACGGAGGTCCTCATGCTGTAGTGGTTTCACCAGAAGCTATATGTGGGAGCTTCCGGGATTTCTTCTGCATGAATCCTCCAGAATTTCATGGCGGACTAGATCCTATGAAGGCCTATGAATAGGTGTTGGGTATAGAGACAACTTTTTTTATAATACCATGTAGTGAAGAGAACAAAGTGGTATTTGTTTCTCACATGTTGAGGGGTCCTACTATGAGGTGGTGGGAAAGTGTTTCGACTCTTATGACTATCCAAGGTGTGTCTAAGGTGTGGGAATAATTCAATACTATCTTTATGGATAAGTACTTTCCTAGCTCTTTGCAGACTCAAAAAGAGTTTGAATTCCAACAATTGAGATAAGGTAACATGAACGTAGCTGCTTATGCTGAGAAGTTTGAGGATATGACTGCTTCCTTTAGGCAAGTCATGTATGCTTCTGATGAAAAATGGAAGATTGACCACTTTTTGTTTAGTTTGAAAGCTGAAATCTCTCATAGTGTGTGTAATACCCCAAATTTTGCCCTAAGATTTGTCGTCGCATTTCATTGCATTTTTATTGCATTTAATCAATTACTAACAAATTTGTGTAGTCGTTTGACTTTTTGCAGGTAAATATCATATGGCATGCATTTTTTTTCTAAAAAGTAAAAATGACATAATTGGCAAGAGGACATGTGTAAGGAGTTGTGAGTGTGAGAGGTTGAGAGTTCGAATCTCACCTTAGTCACTTTTTGTTTTTTATTATTTTACTCTAAATGTTTCTATCTTTCATTAAAAAATAACAAAAATAGTTTTTTATTAT